AGTGAAATATAACGGAACTTATTTTAAGGAAAAAGAAATAAATTATGTAATATTAATGAAAATTGATTACATTAAATATGCCACGTATGCAAAACAAATAATGTAACGAGGATTTTTTAATCGCTTTTGCATGTTGGTTCTTTCTCTTCTAATGTCATTCTCAAATTTTTCTACATTTCGTTTTGCGTTTGTTCTTGAATTTTTTAAACGAAATATATTTTTTTTATGTCTGCATTTTTGCAATCGTCATAAATGAATGTTGGCTTTCTTTCCATAAAACTGACAAATTTTTCGATAGATTTTTCAACTTCAGTCCAGGTTTCATCACAATCATACATCTCTTCTTGAAGCAGATGTGTCTCGTTGTCGTCCTTTCCTCTTATTCTCATCATCTTTTGCACCAATAGAGGCCATTAGGGTGAAGTAAGAATAAGCAAATTATCCAAAGTAAATTTCCTGAAAACAGAAATTTCAAATCAATTCCATATCACTAAAATAATTCAAATATACACATAAAAATCATGTCCGGATATACGGGAATCCGAATATGAGGCATTGCCGACATGAGTGGTTTCGGATATGAGGGATTCCGGATATGAAAGATTCTACAATATAAAAAGAGGCATTCGTTGATAAAGAGAAGAGAGAAAAAGTGAATGGAATTTGACGTTGAAGAAATGAAGAAATTAGAAGATTTAGATTTAGAGTTACTCAACACGAAAAACAAAAAAATATTTATAAAAAGAATTAAAGAGTAGCTTGTTGTTTCATTATAACTTATATTACACAGGGATTAAAAAGTGTCGTTGGAATAAACTTCAAATTTTTGTATCCTTCCACTTTAATTGCTATAATACGAACACACACCCACCTATATATATATATATATATATATATATATATACCAAAACACAACTTTTAAATTCAGTAAATAGCTAAATGATGATAAAATTTTAACAGAAAATAGACGGCTAATGGAATAAAAGATGTTAGTTAGAGATCAAGGTGAAGGAAAGAAACTAAACAAGGTAAGAATTGAATTCAAAAGACAACAGGTAGAATTAAGAGTGGAGTAGTAGAAAAAAATAATCTTTATAATAAAATGTGCATATATTCTACATTGTGATAGGTCAGGATGGAACACAGAAAATAATGGTTCTTTGTTCCGCTATGGATATTGGTTACTTCAAGTCAAATTTTACCCTATCCTAAGAAATGCGAGAAGAAAGAACTAAAAAGTAATTGCGACACAAACAAACGTACGGTTATTAGCAATCGGAACAACCAAAGGTGAAAATTAGCAACTTGAGATAACGAACCGAAAACATACAATGAAGATATATGAGAAATATTTTAAGAGGAGTGAAACTGTGACTCTGAAATATGAAGACGCGTTGGGAATAAGAAAGACGCCTTTCTAAAGTTAACAATCCGAAAATTATGATTATAACTAGATATGAAGCTGCCCTATTTGTTGATATTTAAACTAGCCTCTACGGTGTGCACTTGATTGGGTCTTCAAATTGTTGATGAGTTTGAGAGGCCCTCATATTCCCAGTATTGGAAAATCACCTTTTGATATGGGAACTCATTTGCAAAATAATTGCTTTTCTTCGCTGTAGCCTTGGTTCTTTTGTTATAAATCTGGTCCTCTGTTGGAGGAGATTTCTTTTTGTGAGGCATTCGGCTGGCGTATGCTAAAGACAACGATAAACTAAAGAACTCTAAATTGATCGCTGCATTTAATTAATGTATTAATATTTAAACTTAACTTTTTAAAGTTCAACGATAATTCTTTTGCTGCCATTTAATTTAAAGACAATTTTGTGTACGTTGGTCCTTACTTTCAGTACAATCAAGTATTTTTTTTCACGCATGAATTTCACTAGATTTCGCAATTATTCTCAAAATTAATTCTAAGTTATGAAAATGGTTATCGAACAAAAAAAAAAAATCGTAGGAAAATAATCAGTTAAAATATCGCCGAAACTATCGCAATAATAAAAAACGTGAGATACCAAAATTTTAAGATTACAGTCCGGATCCGAACCTGAATGTTTTTAATTTGCTCACGGATTCGGCCTGTTTCAAAAATGCTATGATATGTTGGGATACAGTCTATAGAAGTAAAGTTGAAGAAGTGTCACACACTGATATTCGCATTTATTTATATAGATTATAAACAAAGAATATAGTACTGAAGTGTTACGTAATAACAATGAATGCCGGACAATCTTTTCACAGATGAAGAAGAGACATGAAGATCACAACTTTGCTTATACAGAAGGATCCTGAGAAACCATGAACCTAACATGTGAGCAACGACAAAGTTCTAAAAGCAAAAGAAACAAAAATGATAATTGTATTTAACATCGCATAGGGACAATTGAAATTTTCTAGGTTATATTATGAAGACAAGAGGCTTGGAAAATACGTTACTCACAAGATATGTTGAAGGCAAGAGGGACAACGCATAAAATACATACTGACTTTGAGTAAATGGCTAGCGAAGGTATTGAGAGAGATAAAATTTATTACGAGTTACAAAGAACGGGAACGAGTGGAGAGCCATCATTTAAGAGATTATTTATTGTTTTCTCCTGTCTCTGATGTGTATAGTTTAGAATTGTGGCACAAGGTCGAAAATGACTTAGCGAGGTAAGCTTTCTAAGCATTGCATCACGTCAAAGGGCCCACATACAGAGACTTAGTAAGCGTTCGTCACTTATGGAACAAGGCCAAAGTCACGTCGAAGTGCTCTATATTGATTTCTTAAGCTTAAATGCTGCACAAGGCCAAAATTATTGGTAAGCCCTGAGAGTATCAGATTACTATTCAGTCATAAGTGATGTAGTGACATAAGCTTTCTAAACATTACACCACTTCGAAGTAACCAAATATAACGAATTAAAAAGTATAGCATAGAGGTGGTGCAAGGTCAAAGTCTTGGAGCACATAGTTGGAATCGAACTCACTATTCGGTCGTAATTGATCTTGTGACTAACTTCTTAAATATTACATTACGTTGGAGTTTAAAAATATCACGATTTAGTAAGCGTAGATTTGTTGCGGACCCGGCAGCGTGCAGTGCTGGTTTATTACAAAGTGGCCTTGTGCCAGACACCACACTAAACTACCGAGTCCACAAGCAATGTAAAAAAAAAAAATAAATATGCGTGAATGAACAATGAGAGGAAAGGGGTCAATCAACAAGTGCATAAATTAATGAACCTCAAAGAGATAGCCGGAATAAAATGACAAAGACGTCTGTTTGTAAAACATGTGTAACTTTAATTAGAATGAAACAAGTAACTTATCTCGTGGTTCGAGATTAATGAAAAATGTCCCGCGCCAAAATAGAAAGCAAGATGGCTAAGGCGGGAAAAAGAGTTTTATAAGGTTCTGGAAAAAGGGAACTCGTTAGACACGAGGTGTATTTGCGCACAGATAGAAAGGAGTACTCACTGTGGATTTTTTTTGGCGTTGAGAGTGATGTTATGCATATTTTTAAGGTACTGGTTCAGAGTCCAATGATTTGAGAGTGTATGTGATTTTATGTTTTTTTCTTTTGTGTTCAGGTTCAAAGTAGGGAGTCAGAGTTCGGTCAGGTCTTGAATTAACTGTTGAGAATTTTAACGGAATGCTGTGGGCATCTAGCCAGGAGAAACGAAGAATGTTTGAAGCGAGTTTCATGGTCTTGTAGAGTTGTTTACGGCGAGCCCAGAGAGACGAAAAATGTTTGTTCTGTTGAATACGAAGTTTCTGCCGACGACTGTGTCGTGTGTCTCGAACATTTTCTAGCAGAAAACGGAGAAGGTCTGACCTGTGGATAGCAAGTTGTTCGTCAGTAGGATATCCCTGTTTGTATTTACTGGTTCACTGGCGAGGGATAAAAATAAGCCATTGTTGAAATAAGATATTCCGGCCCGCATATGGGTTAAGGGCACGGAATAAATGAGTTGCCCGTGTAGTCAGGCTGAAGATCGGGAAGCAACTGCTTTGCAAACGCTGGCCGTTTTGAAACGCCGCGAAAACGCGCGGGAAAAAATTCAAAATCTATTAGTCTGACTTCATCAGTAGGAGCTAGCGACAGTTACTGCTATGTCTAGCTGTGTGAGGGAGAAAGGGGTGAAAACCGCGCGCACACACGCACGAGTGTGAAACGAAGGGAGGAAACTCGCGCGCGCGTAAAATATAGATGGAATTAATGTGTTAATTCCATAGATTACTTGTTTGACAAGGCCGATACAGAGGTTTGGTTTGGTTTGGTTTATTTCGTTTTACGGCATATCAACCTCAATGGGTTATCTAATGCCGACAATATTTTTTTATTACTGGTAATATTTTGTTTTTTTCAAAAATCTGTTTCTGGTAATATTTTTCTTTCAAAATTGTATTGCTGGTAATAGTTATCTATTTGCCCAAAGCTGGACCCATAGCAGGTGCTACCACTCCGGGTCAGGGTGGACTTGGGAACACCATCAAATAAGAGATGGTTCCACGCTCCTCAAAACCTCTTGATCAGAGGCCTCGCTGCCGGGCGTAGTTTATCGTCTTACCCAAAACATGGATGTAGTTTAACGTTTTAACCAGTACGGCCGATAGTAAGAGACATTAGGTAAGGTTTGAGCTCTATACTCAGTCGTAATTGATCTAACGAAAAAGTGTTCTATAACGATTTCATAAGATTAACTTAGATGTGGCACAAGGCTGAAATTATGGAGCAACCAGGAGGATCTAACTCACTACACGGTCGTAATTGTTGGAACAAGGCAAGTTTGCTAAACATCACATCAGGTCAAAGTACTGCTCTTTCTTCATCAATTGCCCCCAAAATGTGTGTTGTCTCATTCTTATTCTAAATATTAGTCCTTGAAGAGTACCTATTTTCCTTAAAATGTATTCGTTTATTTAGATTCACTGACCCTTCGGGACGTTAGTTTTCCTGGATCGTCATATGTTGTTGAAAAGGAGAAGAAAAAGGGAGGGAAAAGAATGATTCAAAAGGAAAAGAGAAGCAAAAAGAAATCGATAGGGATGAAGATAAAAGGAAATTGAGTTAAAATAAAAAAAAAAGAGAGAAAAAGAAGAAAGAAATAAAGAAAAAGTGAAAACAAGTAAAATGAAAATAAGTGGAAAAGGCAAATAATCTTTGAAGGGAAAAGATGGAAAGGATTGAATGTCGGAAAAGAGAGTGAAAGGGAAAATAAAGAAGAGAAAAGAAATGATGGGAGATAAAGAAAAAGAGAGAGAAAAGTATTGTAAATGAGAAAGAAATGGCGAGTAAAAAGAAACAGATACGGAGAAAGGAAAAGATTCCCAAAAAAAAAAAAAGGAAAATAGAAGAAAATGTAAAATAGAGGGAATAAGAAAACAAGAAAAAAAGTATAAATTAGGTCAAAAGAATAGAAAGAAGAAAAAGGCGAGGGAAAAGGAAAAAAATGACAAAAGAAAAGAAAGAATAAACAATCTGCGCGGGGAGAAAGCAAAAGAGCGGATTAAAGAGAGTGAAGTAAATGTGGGGAAAACAGAGAAAGACTAGAAAAGAAAGGAGAGAAGAAATAAAGAGGAATAAAGAAAAATAGACGGAAGGAGGAAAAAAGAGAGAAGTTAAAAGAGACGAAAAAGAAAAGACAGGTAGACAGCAAAAGGGAAAAAGAGGGAAACATGAAGAAAAAGAAACTGAAATGAAATAAAAAGGTAAACAAAGAGAAAAGTGGAAAGAGAGTTAAAGGAAAACATAGAGAAAAATATAAGCAAAAAATGCGACAAAAAATAAAGAATTAAAGATAAGAAATAATTAGAATGAAATGAATAAAAAAGTTGATAAAAAAAATTTAAGCGTCTAAGAGAAATAAAAAAAAAATAAAAAAAATATGGCGAATAATTATTTTTCCTTATGTACCGTATCCCCACAAAACGTAGGCTTTCCATAATTTCCTGTCCTTTGTAGCTCTTAATAAACTTTGCCTTTTTGTTATCACTCCTAAACATTCCCCACCATCCATTTACTCAAGCTCAGTTTTCTTCTATATACACCGTCTTCCTTTTAGATGTAAGCAAACATCGCTTCCACAATTTCCTCACCTTTGTAGTTCTTAGTAAATTTTGTTTCTTGTTATCTTTCCTAAATCCTGTTCAACCATCCAATTTACTCAAACTCAGTTTTCTTCTCTATGTGCATTTCTCTTCCCGGATGTATGCGTGCCTCGCTCTGCACAATTTCCTGTCTTTTGTAGTTCTTCAAAAATTATGCCTTTTCGTCACTTCTCCTAAACCTTGCTATCCATTTACTCAAGCTCGCTTAGTATTTGATGTGGGGTTTTCATGTGACTGTGATTACTTCAATATGGCCTCTGAGTATCAGATTTTCTAGGCCATCTTTCCCCATTATGTGAAAGAGGAATTTTTTCTCCTTCATGTTAAGTATACGTTAACATTATCTTTCGATTTTTTAAAAAACTTCGCCGTTGCTCACATATTCCCCGTATGGTATCCATACATCTTTCACGTCACTTAACCATCCCTGCTTCCCATTAGAATGTCTGACGCTCAACTCAACTGACCTGAAATGGAACAAAAACATTGAGTCAATAGCTTCGTCCACCGCAAGGAAAGTTGGTTTCCTTGCACGCGACAGGAAATTTTTCTCCGAGGAGTCGATCATTCAAATCTACAAATCAACCATTCGCCCTTGCATAGAGTATTGCTGCCATATATGGTCTGGAGCCTCTTCTGTTTGTCTCAAGGTCCTTGATAAAATCCCGAGACGGATATGCAGTGTAATTGGCCCTGATCTGGCATCTCGTCTGCAGTCGCTGTCTCACAGACATGTCGTCGCCTCCATTTGTCTTTTTTTTTTACAAATACTTTCACGGTCGCTGCTCCGATGAGCTGCTTTCGCTGGTTCCCAGACTTCATGAATTTAAGCGTTCAACTAGGCTGACATCTCGCTCTCACCCTTTCACTGTCGAAACTGTTAAATGTAGCCGTCTCTTCTACTCAACTAGTTTCATGTCTCGCACCTCTCACCTGTGGAACTACATCCCCATTTCTTGTTTCCCAACTGTTCTAATGTAATGTCAATCGACGTCTCCAGATGCCTTGATGTATCCCTTACCTTTCTGTTCGCCCTTTCCTCTATCACTCCGCTTTGCTCTTGCTCCAATTATCTGTAATCCCTTGTGTGCTAGTGGCTTCCCGCCTTGCTTGGGTGAAACGCTTAAAAAAATGAACTTCTTCATCTTTGAGGAGATTATCCAAAGTTCAGTGCAATATAGGATGATAGATATCACATAAGTGTTCAGTACTATTTTCTTTGATTTTAACCAAGTTTTCTTGTCTCTTAATGCTTTGCATAGGTTTTTGAAGGCAACATTGACCATCCCAATGCGCGTTTCGTATTTCATTGTCGCACTTTCCGTCCTATGTTAAAACACATCCTAGTTATTTAAATTTTTGCACTTGTTTGATGTTAGTATCTCCGATTTGTAATTTGAATTTTAATCTCATCTTTTTCCTAGTGACCGTGCACCCTATCACCTTATAGCTGATGTCAAAAAAAATAAATAATTAAACAAAGAATTCTGACGCCAAAACTTAAGAGAAAAATAATTTCGCATAGAAGCATGAAGAATTATCAGCTTTATTAAACATTTTCCTGTTGTAATTTCATTCTCTTTTCTTCATTTGTCTTCGTTGATAAAATCCTGTCACATTCTCCTTGATTTCAATAGTTTACATGCTTTGACCCAATAAACCTAAAAAAAAACAAATTATATAATAGACAGCTCGATGTAATCGAGCGAAAATTTGCAATCGGGCTTACAATGATTGGACTTTATAAGTATAATTCTGTCTTTGGAAAGTTTAAAATATGCTTCATGTTAATAATAGATATACGTTAGCCAGGGCCGCTGCAAGTATCACTTCAGCTCCCACTGAATCTATGTTAAAGCTGCCACCAAATCTATGATTTAAGCCTCCTCACTGCTACATTTGAATTTTCATACAGGAGTCATTCATATAAAATACAAATTTTACTGTAGCCTACTTATATACAGTAATAGATCATGCAATATAGGGGAACAATTCAGCAAGAAATATTGAAAATAAATACTATGTATCTAGAGAACTGTCATATTAGATAATTTCCTATTAGCTAAATCAAAACTTTTGCCGTAATTTGAAGATCAACTTGAGATCTTGTTAAAAATTGATAATTTGAAAACATTCAACATTATGGTTGAAGATAGTGAATTTTATATAGTGTTTTTAGGCTTAGTATACACACAAGGAAACCACATATTTGAAGGTAAATGAAGTCAGGATGACGTGAAAATTCGTGAAAATCTTTCATCCTTTAATAGTCAGCTGTACTTAGTTTAATTTGAAACGTATATAAAATTAGGCAGAAAAAATTAAATGTTGATAAAATAGTGATGATCACAAGACACTGTTTGGGGTCCTTAATCAAACTTTTCCCTTTACATGTTAGGGGTGAATGAGGGTAGTATGAACCGCCATGTACGTTCTTTACTAGAAATAGATCCTCCAGTCTTTTAGAAATTTTAGTTTACATCCTTTCGTCTTTTTTTGTTTGTTTTTTTTTTGGGGGGGGGGTCTGGAAAAAGACCTACATTAGTTCAGGTTCCTTCTTCTATCTGAAATGTTGTAAAGCCAAAAACTGATTAGACTTATTTAATATTTTCAACATTCACCGAACTCACTAAATAACTTTGTCTACTGTTTCTCCATCTCTGAAAACTGATTTTTTTTTCTGCTTCTTTTCGTTTTTTTTTTTTTTTTTGTTTTTAAATTAAATTAACTCTTTATCGAATATGCAATCAAACAAATTTAGTGCATCGTTGAGACGTCTAGGGAAATACTGGGAGGAAGGAAAATGTTTTCCACATAAACTAACTAAAAGTGACATATATTGCCGCTGTCTTCAATCTGTTAAGCGCAGTAAAAACAGGACAAGATAGTAACTGAGGCTTTAAAGGCAATTTCAGTACAAAATCCGAGAACCAAAGCTAAACTTAATTATATACAAGGCAACTTTAAACATCAAAGGAGTATGTTGAAGTAAAACAATTCTTTTGTTATGTTATGGAAACCTACTTAGCTCACTCTCAATTCGCTTGCAGACATTTCATGCATGTTTTGACACTTTCCAATTAGAAACACGGATTTTTTTGAAAAGACTCCCACTTGGACACTTCCGCAAACAATAAAATCTAAAGCTATCCATGTCTACAGTCGATTTTTCTTTGTTCTCCATATCCTCATACTTTCCTAACTTCTTATGTTCTTATTCATTCATGCCAAAAACCACATTCATGAATGATCTAACTTAAGTGGCTCTTGCGCCTTGTATTCGGTTATCATTAGTAAAAAAGCCACATGAAATGAAAAGAGAGATAACAAATGCACATATTTATAATGTTCATATATATATATATATATATATATATATATATATATATATCCAGTATAAGGTGTAGTTCAATTTACATTACATGAATCATTTATACAAAAAACAGATATAGAAGTTAATGATTTAAATGGCGAGAATACATCTTCGCAAACAATCTTAATAAAGTACACTAACCCCGAACCTGTATATGAATCCCTGTTTATAAATTTCAGTTGCATGAGGTCTTTTTTAGTTTTTACAAGCTTTCGTCTGTTCCTACAGACATCTTCAGGTATGGAAATAGATTTGTTTTGTTTTTTAGTTGGAATTTATAAACAGGGATCATATCATTCATATAAAGGTTCGGGGTTAGTGTACTTTATTAAAATTGTTTTGAAGATGTATTCTCGACATTTAAATCATTAACTTCTATATCTGTTTTTTGTATGAATGATTCATGTAATATATATATATATATATATATATATATATATATATATATATATATATATATATATATATACAAACCGTTTTTGGTGTGCAACGCAAGTTTCCTTGTTTTTCCAGCTTGTGTAGCACAATTTGATGGTTATTTATTTGCTTGCCTGTGTATGCACGCCAACGCGCGTGTATATGGTTCTTATCTCCGGTCGTTATATATATATATATATATATATATATATATATATATATATATATATATATATATATATATAGGTATGTAGGTAGGTAGGTAATAAAAAGTTGAGTAATCCGTATGGATAATCTTAAGGAGGATGTAATCCAGAGAGGTCAATGTCAAACCACACCAAAATAAAAAAGGAAAAAATTATAATGTGAATATAAGAAAAACAAAAAATATTACTATTATTAATATTATAAATATTATTAATAAAAAGTAACAATTGTTTTGCTGCGAAATATTTCTTGGTGTTTAAAGTTCCTTGTATATAATTGAAATATTTTTATTTTTACTCTTTAGTTGTTATTAATAATATTTATCTACAACCGATATGAACAAAAACTAAGACCAATAACTGATACTGCGATTCCGCAAAGAGGCATGGTACGTGGAACTGGAACTATATACATCGATAGACGAAAGGAAGTGTTCAGTTCGAAATTCCTATCACCATTATAACGACAGAAACGTCGTAAATATGCCAACGAAGATGAGGACAACAGTCCGAGCAATGTAAATAGAGCAATGTGAATATTTCAACATGGAAATAGAGACAGGTATTGATTGAA